ACCGAGTCCTCGGGGTTGTCGGCAAATGATCCTACGAACTTGGCAAGATGGAAGGCGAACAACTACCAAATAATTGGAACTTATCATTACTCAAATGGTACTACTGCTAAGGTATGGCTTTATCCTTTTGTCTATTTGAGTTTAAAACTAACCCATTGCAGATTTACAATCGAAGACACCTTTTTGCACGAAGGCCTTAGGTTTTAAAGCATGCGTTGCACTCTTTTTCCCTTAGATCGGATTTTTTCCCAAATGGGTTTTACCGGCGAGGTTTTTAACGAGGCAACAACTATATGCTACCTAAGGAGAACTCAATAGTATCCAAGGCTTCTTTTCAATAAACCTCGAATACTGGGGTGCATCACCCTCGGAGGTCATATTTCGAGGAAAATACTTTATGCCTAAGAGGACCTCGATAGGAAAAACTTTGTAATGGGCCAAACGGTCAGATGAACCGTGTCCGTGTAGAATAGTCGAGCCTTGGCGGCAATATGTACGCATGTATCAATTATTTGAAGAAGCTTCCTATTTATATCAAAAACATTTTGTGTCTCAAAGAAGTCTACTATTATACGAGCTTACACTTATAATCCTACGGGAAACGGCTCAAGGGCCAAAGCACGAGTGTAACCCCGAGATACTCGGGAACTGTCATCGACAGTCAACTCGCCCGAGCCATCACAAACTCAGGCTCATAAGACCTCAAAAAGGCATCCCCCAAAACAAGGACCAAGGCCAATATACTCGGGGCCTAACTTTTCGAACAAGTTTGAAAAGTTATCGGAAAACAAATCCAAGAGACACACCCGAAGGCTACGACCAAATTAAAGGCTACGGACATATAAAAGGCTACGGCCAAATTAAAGGCTACGGCCATATAAAAGACTACGTTCATATAAAAGGCTGCGGCCAAAATAATGCGGCTCGGAGACGATTATGTTTACACAAACAAACTATCAATAAGGTTCCGATCCATAGACCCTTCGAAAAACCCAATGGGTACAAAAAACACATGCTAAGGCATAATTAAATTTTCACTAAGTCTTTTAGCCGGAAAGAGGGAAAATTATATAGCCGTTCTAGAGGCCGAATTGGCCCAACTTAAAGAACCTAAGGCCGATATATAAGAGCCTAAGGGCCAACTTAAAGAGCCTAAGGACCGATCTAAAAGAGCCTAAGGGCCGAAATATATAGAGTTCGAGACTTCATTCTCACTCGTCTCGGACTCAAGAGCCCCACTATTCCGAGCTCACATCAAATCAATTTAAGCTTAGCTCGAGGATTAACTAAAACCTTAAGAGGTGAAGACAAAATGAAATTCAACACAAGTCAAAATGAGACAAAAAGGTCCTTTTGTATTTCCAAAAAATGATTACAAAAGATATTTACACAAGGATACTTGCACAAAAAACACGAAAACAAAATAAGGAAACCTAAATCTACTTTGGGGCCGCATCTTCAGCAGCTGCATCTTCAGGAGCCGCATCTTCAAGAGCCTCACCCTCGGGGACTTCATCTTCATCTCCTCCACTCTCGGAGCCACTGGCTGAATCATCCTCGTCAGAAAGCAAAGCGGCAGCCTGTTCTTCCAAAGTCTTCGCCCTTTCAATATCGGTTGAGAGATCGAAGCCGCGAGCATGTACCTCCTCGAGGGTTTCCCTCCGGGATTGTCGCCTAGCATGGTCAAGTGCACTTGATAACTTATCTTCAGCCGCGGAAGAGATGTCCTTTTCCCAGGCATTAGCCGCTTCAGCATCGGCTCGATACGAAGATATAATTGCCTCAGCGTCAGATTTGGCCTTGGCCAGCTCAGCAGCGGACTTAGACTTAAGCTCCTCAAGTTCGCGGCCTCGAGCCAGACTCTTCTCCTTTACATTTTTAAGCTGACGTTCGAGTGAAGCCAGCTGCTCCCGAAGAGTTTCTTTCTCGGAGGCAAGACTGTCCATACCTCGCCTCCACCCCAGGGTCTCGGCCTCCTTCAGCTTGAGCTCCTCTCGAAGCTGCTCCACCAGCTCGCCCTTTTGTTGAAAATGCAAAGTAAAAATGTTAGAAGACCAAGTGGGAAAATCCATAATAAAACTTCAGAGGGAATATTACCATTTCGGTAAGCTCGTTTTGTTCTTGGCAAGCCTTTGTCAGTTCGGCCCGAAGATTGCTGATCTCCTCCTCTTTCTTGACATAGAGGGTATTAAGACTGTCCATCTCTTCCGAGATCTTCTTAAGCTCAGCCTCACATCGAGCAAGATCAGCTCGAGACTTGAAAAATTCCCTTTTATGGAGCACCACAACCTTCACAAAAAGGGGGAAAGTTAGACGCAGAACAACAAGGACAAAGCGCAGGCGTAATTTTAAAGGACAGAAAACTCACTTGTTTGAAGAGCCGACGAGCCTCATCAAAGATGAAAGAAGCATCTGGGTCGGGCCATCTTCAATCCCTGCGAGGCATTCTCGAAAGATGTCATGCCCTTCGTGGCTCGCCCCCACTTCAGAAGATCTCATGTTCTGAGCATCTCGGATTTGCCCCTCGGAGAACTCGGGACCAGGCGGTGAATCATCCACATTGATTACCCCAAGTGATCCACTCAGGGCATTCTCTTCTATTTGAAGGGGCTCGGGACCGGGCCCCTCGGGCTCGCCCTCCAAATGGCCTCCTAGACGAGGTACCTTTTTGGTGCCCGATGCTCGGGGACTTTGCTTGAACTCCCCTTGGAGATCTCTTCGGCTCTAGAATGAACCACATCAACCACCACCGGTTCGGCAGACTTCGAAGCACCAGTGTTTCCTCTTTTACGAGCTACCAACAGGCAGTCATCATCTTCTTCTTCCTCCTGATCCCGAAGGCATTGGGCCGTTTCTGGAGATAAGGCCACCGTATCGGCCTTGGACTTTCGAGCCGCATTTTGCTTGGGCTTCGAGGGATTTGCAGGCGACTCCCTTTTTCTTTTCTTTCCTTTAGAAGGCTTCGGGATCTCTTCTTCACCAGCCAAGGCCGGCCGCATAGCAACAGCGTCTCCGAGACCTGCACAAAAACGAAGTAAGTATTTCACTAAAGAAGTACAAGTAAACAAACAAGAGAACTCACCATGATTTTTAGCCTCCCATCGGCCCTTGGCCAAATCTCGCCAGCAACTACCGATTACGAGGAAGTGGAAGCCAGTTTTCGGACCCAGCTTTCAAGGTCCGGGACCGCACCAGGAAACCAAGCAGTAGCTGCGCCATCGGAAAGGGGTTAGACCAAGGGAAAATATAAAGTCGAGAAAAAGAAGAGAAAGCAGGGTATAAAATTACTATGTACTTACGTTTCATGTTCCACTCCTCGGGGAACGGCATCCGATCAGCAGGAATCAGGTCGAAGGTCCTGACTCGGACAAACCGGCTCATCCACCATCGATCTTTGTTCTCATAGATACTAGAGAAGAGAGATTTCAAGGATCGGCGTTGCAGTTGTATCAAGCCACCTCGATAAAGTCGAGGACTGTACAGTCTGATCAGATGGTCGAGGGTGAAAGGCATCCCCTCGACCTGACTCGAAAAGAATCTGATCAAATGAACGATTCACCAGAATGGAGGTAGATCTGGCCAAGCGTCACTTGGTATCGTTGGCAAAAGTCAAGAATAACTGGATCTATGGGACCATGAGCTGGAATTGCGGGGCCCAGCGTGAATGGGTAGGTATACACGCTTAAGTACCCCGCTTTATATGTAGTGATATCCTCCTCGGGGGTAGGGATCACTACGTCTTTGTTCTCCCACTTGCAGTCCTTCTTTACTTGCTCGAGCTCGTCCTCGGTTATCAAACAGACGTATCGAGACATGGGCTCGCATCGGCCTGGTGTCGATACAGGTTTCTCGATCTTGAAATCGGATGTTATTTCACACGGCGGGGGAATGCACTCCTCAATACGAGGAGGCACTACCGCTTTACTCTTGGTCGGTCAAGAAGATGAAGAAGCTTTTTCTTTATGGGGAACCGATTTAGATGTCTAAGCCATTGTAATGCAGAAAGTAAAGAAAATAGAGAAGGTTGATGATGAAGTAAGAGCAAATAAAAGAGAAGGGAGAATTCAGGGAAGTTGAAAGGGCTAATGAGATTTTGAGAGCAATGTGAGAATAAAGTTTGTAAGTTTGTGAAGTTGATCTATTTATAGAGGTCATTTAAGCGTACTGGGGAAGCCAAAAAGCCGACCGTTAGTCGCCTCCAATTAATGACTTTGGGAACCACACGAAAATCAACCTTTCAGTCACTTCAGCCGCTGACATCACGAGATTGGCATCGGGATCAAGGCGTCGAAGATCAATTCGTTTCTTATCGACCTACTCTAAGAAACGCGAGGACTATCTGTATACGGTCAAAATCAGAGGCCTCCGATTTATAGGCTCGAAGGACCATCCTGGGCCCAAGTCCAGGCAAGGTCGAGTTCGAGCCCGGTGGACAAATTCGAGCTCGAAGACGGAGTGCAATGCTCGAGAGATAAGAGTACGAGGAGTGCCAGGGCTGAGTATACTCGACCCCGAAATAGTATCGTCATGGATTTACAACAGAATGAGCTAGATTCCCGCCACGTCCCCAAAATCATGGCGCAAATCCCGAAATAGGATCGTACAATTCCGTACTAGGCGGTTAGAAAGATGTACCAAGAATATTCCTTACTGTAAATAGAAATATACCTTATTCAGGGTTCCCCTATTATATAAAGGGGACCTCAATCATTTGTAAGGATCATCTAATCATTGAGAAAAGAATATACTCTCTACTTTTTGCCTACTGTTCATCAGAATTGTCCTTTAGCTCTATTGTTCTTACTTACTTTTCCTGCTTGATTGTTCTTAATGTTCTAAACTCACCTCGAGGTCACTGCTGCTGAGTTATATTGGTTTGATTCACTTATTTCTTTCACTTCTACTTTATATTTCTTGATTATTAATTGGTATTGAATCTAGTCACGTATCTTTAAACCACAAATCAAATTTAATTGTTTCTCGTATTTTCGAGGTAAACATTGAGAAAAGGAGACCAAGTCAAGTTGCATTAGAAACATAGTACAATACTCAATTTACCATTGTGCATAGTGAACAAAATATACTGGTTAATCACAAATCTTTTATCGTCCACCACAAGGAAAGAAACACACAACATCCTGACCTTTCAATATAGACTTTTAAATGCTAAGCATAGACGAAATGGAGACTAATACATTGAGCGGACATGTCATTTTCTAATTGGGCTGTTCACCCAATGTATGCTTGGGCTTCTAGGCGAAGACCGGGGTGCACCACCAACGGATCAGCCCGTTGTAAGGTCAGCCCAAATGCTTCCTCCATGTTTAGTTTCTCTGGTGATTGTCCAATAGGCAAATCCCAGTTAAATGCATGAATTAAAGTTGCAGTCATCAACTGGACCATTCGTATGCCCAAATTCATTCCAGCACAGATTCTACGCCCAGCTCCAAATGGGATGACTTCAAAGTCATTTCCTCGCACATCAACTTTGGGCTTCTCACCACCCGGCAAAAATCTTTCGGGCCTAAACTCTAATGGATCAGCCCATTCATTTGGATCACGAGCGATGGCCCAAACATTTACGAGAAGCGTTGAGCCTTTTGGAATGAAATAGCCATTAATCTCACAACTCTCTGATGCAATTCTAGGGAGGGAGAGAGGGGTAGATGGATGAAGCCTTAAAGTTTCCTTAACTATGGCTTCCAAATAAGTTAATTGGGCTAGGTCAGATTCCATAACGAGCCGGTTCTTTCCAACCACTTTGTCAATCTCTTGTTGGGCTTGGGCCAGTATTCTTGGATTACGAATAAGTTCCGCAATGGCCCATTCTACTGTGCTTGAGGACGTATCTGTTCCAGCTATAAACAAGTTCTGCAATAATTCACCAACACAGATTAAAGTTCTGGGAACAAGCATTCATTCATTGGCACCATCACAAGTACCCTACAGTAGAAACTACTAAATAAAAAAGTTTAAAAAAAAAATCAACTAGTAAATAAATAAATAAAAAACATCTTGTCTTATGAACTCATTCGTCCAAATTGACGCCCGCATAGGGAAATGACTCTTAAGCATGAATTTCTCAACGGTGATAACCACATCCCTTCCCTTAAGTAATAAGCAGTAACTCCTTCTAAATCAACAAAACCACCACAAAATTAAGGTAGCTGCTTTGATATTTAGGGGTTAGTTCGGTTGGGAAACAAGTTATTCCATAATTAATTATTATGGGATTAGTTATAACACCCTCTCATAGGGATTAAAAAAATACTACAATCTCAGAATAACTGATCCCAGAATTAGTAATATCACAATTTTATCTCAGCCAAACATGGAATAAACCAAATTTAATGTAAGACTAGCCTATTTTTGCGAGCATAAAGACTTCTCTTTTTTAATATTGAAATCTTTGTTTATCGTTACATTCCACAAATGTATTCAAAAAGCTTTTGTCAAAGTAGTCATTCAATCATTTGGAAAGGGTGGCTCTAATTAGTAAGGAAAGGCAGGACAGAATAAAGCAATTTGAGATATAACAAAGAAAGGCTATAAATGAGATCTCTTTCACGAGTTTGCTTAACCTTCCTTTTGCTGTTTATTAAAATCTCCATCTTTATTCCATTAACACTCTTGGGGATATTAGCTTAAAGCCTTAAACTAAAAGACATGGGAGTGTTGCAAAATACAAGCAGTGGCTCGAAGATGTGCATATCAACATTAACAAATCCAAATTTAAAGTTTATGAATTCCTACAAACTATATATATAAATATTTAATAGAGTAAAAAATACTGCTTTTACATAAATTCGTAACCAATCCTCTAGATCTGCTTGCATATATCAAACACAATCAAGTTGAATTAAAAAAATCTATATGCAATATATATCATCCTTTAAAGTATATCATAGTTTAATACGAACCCAAATCGGCATATGTACAAATATTATTGGTCTGTACGTAATTGCCGATTCAGGTGCGGCAATATATATCATCCTTTAAAGTATATCATAGTTTGATACGAACCCAAATCGGCATAAGTACAAATATTATTGGTCTGTACGTAATTGCCGATTCAGGTGCGTATCAAGCTTTGACATACAAAGGCTATCAAAAGCTGCTGAAGCAAAAAGAGAAGTGAACCAAACTAGGTATGAATGATGACAGGCTTTAGAAGGTTGTTAGGTTTATATAGCTGAATGGGGTAATGGTAAAGAAAATCTCAGCCGTTGATTTGTATTTTACTATAGTATGTTTGGCGGCTATGTTTCTACGTCCAAGGAAGCCCTAGTTCTATTAAATTACATGGTAGCCCTTCTATATATTTGCGCTGACATTATTAACCTTCACGTTCTTGGGCATTTCTTCATGTTGTTATACACATTTCTATTGATTTAGATTATAGTAACATTAACATCATAAAGATTTTTTTATCCAGCCATATTTTATTCAAATAATTAACTAATCTATTTGTTTTAAAAAATAATACACTCATTGTCAGATTAAGTGTCAGTCTAACCTTATCAAACTTGTATAATGTATAACGTTACTTGTAAGAAAAAGTTAGGCATTAAATACTCGTTAAGTTATTGTTATTCAAATTATATATCACTCTTTTCATTTTGTGACATTAAAGACAGCGACTCCATTTCATTTATATGTATTTTATAACATTTCATAATTCAAATATAACAATAATAATTTTACATCAGTTTGAAGTAAGTTAGGATCAAGTATATGAATTCTCAATTCTCCATTTAAGTGCTTCTAAAATACGTTAAGATATATAAATTTTACTTTTGATGTTACATTAAATCATTACTTCAATATTTTATTCTACTATCATAATACAACACATAAGTCAAATTAGCTTAATATTTAAACACCATCTTAAGCCAAATATCATCACTAAACATGGAAATTAGAACTGAAAGCAATTGTTTATTGATCCTTTGAGATGTTTTGGTTTAAGAAAGAGAGAGGCGTACCAAAAGTAAAGCTTTAATTTCTGAATCTGTGAGCTTTCCTCCTTCATTATCGCCTTCTTCTTTTTTCAAAGAGATCAACGTACTCAACAAGTCCTCATCTTCTTTCGTTTCTCCAAATTGCTTGCTTTTGTGTTCCTCTAGAATTGAGGTCAAGAACGCGTCGAAACGCGCGTGGAGCTTTTTCATCTTTGCAGCTACACCTTGAATGTCCAACCAATCAAGTGCCGGAATAAAATCGCCTATATTGAAAATGCCGGCCAGCACCATTGCCTCCACTACCATTGACTTGAACTCTTCCGCCTGTGGATCAACACCGGCACTTGCGTCAGCGAACACCCGCCTCCCTAGCATCACTCGCGCAAGTGCATTCGTGGTGCACACGTTCAACAGTTGGCCTAACTTGACCGGCTCTTGCCTGGCACTCGCTAGGGCGCGCGTAAGTGTTTTTACTTCATCCTGCAATTGTGATTAGGCCGACATTTAGTAACTGGTGGAAAATAATACTATATCCGTTTCATCCTGCAATCCGTTTCAATCTATTTGACTAGACACAAAATTTAGGACAGAAAAAAAAAAAAAAAAAAAAACTTTCAACTTGCGGTATAAATATATATTTTATGTGCCTATAAATCATTACATAAACGTATAATAGTTTTTAAATATGGAAAGAGATTAATTTTTTTGGCACAAACTAAAAAGAAAATAAATTCACATAAATTAAACAAATTCGCTCCTAATTAAGCACTACAACCGTAAGGTACGATCTAAAACGTAGCCCAATAGCACTTTTTATTGCTTCTAAAGCCACAGGTTCTCTTTACTTGTCATATTACTAGTTTTTTTTTTTTTTTTTCCGCTTTTTACAAAAGTTGTTTGATTAATTTATCCTTATTCCTTCTTTGATCTTCACTCCATTAATATTTCTTTAGATAAATGCTCAGTATATTAATAGGACATTTTTTTTTTAAGATACAGTCTCGCACGTAAAGATAGACCTTACATTCAGTCACTTTCCTATTAAAAGAGGGAACAAATAGGATGTTCATAAAAACCCGAAAAATCGATCCAAACCGAAAACCAAATCAAACCGACCAAAAAAATCGATACTTTTTGGTTTGGTTTGGTTTTAGTTTTGGTTTTGAATTTTAAAAACCGATCAAATTTTGTTTGGTTTTGGTTTTAATCAAAAAATAACCGAAAAAAATCGAACCAAACTGACTATAGGAGTAGCTATTTCAAATTTATTATTACACCTATATATATGTATATTTTTATAGAAAGTTTCAAAACATTTATGGTGAATGTTAATCGTTTGCACTTTTATTACAGTTTTTTACCTTTATATTCTAGTTTGATTAGTAGTTTTTTTTGTTAAGTGTAAGAATTCATTTCATGTTAAAAAAAATATTTTTAAATGAGTCCTTAAATTATTCATCACTATTTGATTCAATTATCATCAATATATTTTAGTAAATAATAGATTTCTCAAAGGGCAGTTGATTTGATAGTGTTATGTTGAAAATGTGGTCGCCGAAATATGTGTTTGGTAGTGCATGTCTTATATTTAAGAAAAAACCGATAAAAAACCGAAAAAACCGACAAAATCAGACATAAACCGAATCGAGAAAAAAACGACTTAATTGGTTTGGTTTGGTTCTAATATTTGAAAAACCGACTTACTTGGTTTGATTTCTTTTTAGGGAAAACCGATCCAAACCGAACCATGAACACCTCTAGAAAAAAATAAAAAATAAAAAATAAAACCGCACCACTTATGCAATAATCTAACGAGGACAGCCAAATAAAGTGTTCAGTGTGCTCACGCACATGTAACTGACAGGTATGCCACCGCTTTCACGAGAGTTTGGGAATAATGGGGAAAAAATGAAAAATGAAAAATGAAAAATGAAAAAGAAATTTCAGGCATAGCCTGGTGTTTCTATAAATGGAAGTACTGTACCCAGTTTCGACATAATAAGTAAAAGCCCTTCTTCTACTGGCCTTTCCATCTAAGAACAGTAAACTGAATGTCAACCTACCCTCTCCCACGACAAGAAAGTTAATTAAGGAAGATTAAGAGAATGAAAGATGAGATTAATCCTCAGTTCTTTTTTTTTTTATTTTTAAAAAAGAGATACTTCCTCCATTTTATTTTATAGGAAAAATGTTCAATTTTTGTCCCTGAACAATTCGAAATGGGATGACGTTATTTTCCATTTCGTCTTTTGCCCAAAAATCCTTTCATCGCTAGGCAAGTAGCTCAAAAATGTCCTTAGTTTGTCTCTAACAATTACTCTAACTCGGATAGAAAAATGGCCAATTTTGCATCTGAACTATTTGAAATAAGACCATTTTGTCCTCCGTCAATAGCTCGGTTAATTAATATCATTCCAAAAATTTGGAACAATCAATTCAACCTCTAGTTTTTTTTAACATATTATAAATCGACCCTAACAATTTTTCATCCAAGTTGAAGCAATCGTTAGTGAGAAGCCATTTTTAGCTACTTGGCTAACCGCGAATAAAAAATGAAACATAGGACTTTTAAGTTGTCCCATTTCGAATATTTCTAAGGACAAAATTAGTCTTTTCCCTAGTTTATATGATAATGTTTAACTGGATAAAGTTTAAAAAAGAAAAAGAAACCTTTAGTACAAATTGGATTTGTGGTCAGGGGCGAATTTAAAGGGGAATTTTGGGGCAGTGAACCCATGGTTTCTCGCTAAAATTAGATATTTTATACATATATTTTTTAAAATTGCTATAATATTAATTGTTGGCACCCATGCTCAAAGAAGGTTAAATGGTGCACTTGGTTGAAATTAAGAGGAATATGGATTGATTCCCACTTAAACGCATTTTTTGTTTTTTTTAGTAGTGGACCCATATATTAGAAATCTTAGATCCACCTCTATTTGTGGTATAATCGAATTATAACATTTCTAAGCCGAGGAGGGCATACCATTATGGGGAAAAAATGGAAAATTTGAAATTAAGGAAATAAAGTATACATCATTCTATTTGAAATATAAAAAGGAAAGAGTTGTTATCTAAATACGTATGTTGCACCACCGTGGTGCAGTGGATGGGACTGCTCCTCCCTTAACCAGAGGTCTCGAGTTCGAGCCCTAGGTATGGAAAAATTCTTTGTAGGGAGCGCTTTCCCCCGAAAGGGGCCCTGTGCGGTGCGAATCCGGATATAGTCCGGCTACAATACGGGTACCGGACACCGGGTGAGAAACCAAAAAAAAAAAAAAAAACGTATGTTGCCGATAAAGCCAAAGTAAAAAAAAGAAAAAGCTTCCTTTGGCAAGCATTACCTTTTTCATTCGAAGTTTAGAAAGTTTATGAAAAGACAATATAATACTATAAAACCAGACAGTTGTAAATGTAAAGTAAAAAACCTGGCGGACATGGCTGAAGTCATCTAAAGCCTTGGCAGAAAAAAGATGAACAGAGCAAATTTTCCTAAGCATACGCCACCTTGGTCCGTAGGGTGCAAAAACAAGATCCTGATAATTGTAAGCCAAGTGCTTTGCACCCGAGTTCGGAGGGCGGCTCGAGAAGTTAGCGTCATGAGTTTTCAAGAACTGAGCCGCCACCGAAGCAGACGCCACAACCACCACGTCCACGAATCCCATCTTAAGGTGCATGAGTGGACCGTAAGTTCGAGCCATGGCTGCAGTTGATTGGTGTGGCTTTGGACCCATATGGACCAAGTTTCCGATTATTGGCCATGGTTTTGGACCTGGTGGTAGTGGCAACGGGTAACGTTTGCGAAAAAATAAGCTGAGAATGGAATGTAGAAGGAAAGAGAAAATGACAGCGTAGAGAATTAGGGAAAAGATTGCCATTTTGGTGATATGTGATGTTAGGAAGGAAATGTTTGAGAAAAGTGAATGTAACAAGGACTATAAATAGGGAAGAAAATAGAAAGAGATATCCGTGCTTCTATACTTGAGTAGGAAAGTTAGAAAATTCACGAGAGTGGTGTAGTTTTTATCCCTTTTACTCCCTTTGCATTTATATTTTTCCTTTTTAATCGTCCCAAAAAAGTATAATATCTTTATATAGTTAGTAATAATTTTATATCAAATTTCTCATCTTATCTTTATTATGATAATTTATAACCACAGAAATTTTTATGGCATATTTTAGATTACCAAATTTGAAAATCTTTTTTTCATTCTTAAAATTTTGTTTCTAATCAAACACCTTAACATAAATTGGAACAAAAAAATAATACATTACTTTTTTTAAAGCACGAGGTAGGTAGTTGAATGAGTATATTTTTGACGGTTTGGTTAGAGGATCCAGCATTTCTGCCTCACTGTATTTGCCAAATTAGGATTAAATTAATGTTTGGTGTTTGTTAAGTTGGAAACTCGAACTTGATTTTACATTGACCAACTCTTGTTTCTTTGGGACATAATGTTTTCTAGAAGCACACTTAATACTAATTTTGCTAATAGTATTCGCTTATAACTAAGTTTTTTTTTACTAGTTTTTCTTGTTTTGACTAGTGTTGAATTTAAATGGTTGTTACTTCTTAGATTTGAGGAACTTAAGTTTATTTATGTAGCATAAAACCACCTATTTATGCTACTAAGTACTAATAATAGTCACGATAAAGATAAAACTGGTGGGGAAGGGGGGAAG